GCCATTCCTTCAATGTAATTTTAAGATAGCACCCAGGATCACCAGTGGTGGGCATTCCCGCTCCCGAAAGGGAGTCCAGCCACCCAAAGGGACAAGCGAGCATGACGTTATCTAACATTTTTAAATGTACCAGACACGTTACCGTCGGTCATCCTTCCCAAAACACCAAAAGTCATCTGAAAATGTGAAATCCTACCCAGAGCCCTTGTCGCAACACACCGGTTAATTGTTATGCAATCTTCGACTAAAAATAGTACTTTGCAATCTAAAACTTCCGAGGAAAACTATAGCCTTGGTTCTATCCGCGCAAATATACAGCGTTTTCAAAGGAGTGGATCGATCAAAATATCCCAAGAAGTACAGTTCCCAGAGAAACATTTTGCAAAACAAAGTCGTAAGGTTGGAAAATGTTCACTTAATGGTGGTTTCGAACGTGACCTTGACTACGACCTCCAAAGACAAGGTAGAAAAAGGACAAGATTTTCAAAAAATACGTTTCATCAAGAAAAATGTTGTGGGATAAAGCTGTGAGGTTTGAAACAATAACGGTGACCTTGGACGTGACCTTGATTATGACTTTCAAGGTCATTTGAAGGCCAAGACGCTTTTCTGAAATGGAAATCCCTATTTTCGACACCGGAAGCAATAAGAGCAACAAACTCTTTGCTCAAGTATGTCGATGACCTTGACTAAGAGCATCAATTTCATTTGAAGACTGAGTGAATTTTCAACGAAAAGCATTAATTTTTTTTTAAACAAACAACACAGGCAACGGGTAGTAGATATAAGAACACAGGTAGAAACCGACTCCAATCACACAACAATCTAACTGTAGCTTCGGATACTGGATTATAAATAGTTGATAGTCGTTGATCAAATTCTACGTATGGCTGTCTTGAAGATGCCCCACAGAATTTTTCGAAATGATCAACTTCAAGTGCTTAGGTACAGAAGGGAGGTTTGATTTTGAGGAAATGGAACGCCAAGTGCAGCCGGCTCACTTCTCATAGGAACTAGAGCAGTTGAGTTGAATTTGCATTGAGACAACCAATGACTAATATCATCCTTACTCCCATTACAGATGCATGTATCAGATTCCTCGAGGCGAAAACGGTGTAGATATGTTTTTGCTGTAGCTTATCCAACAATACATCCACGAGTAGAGTACATTGAATGTAATAGTGGTATCAGGGAGGCTTGGATAAATTTTGCAGTACTGGTTATTACTGTTAATACAGAAATCAACCCTTTCATATGACCAGCTGTTTCATTTCAAGCTTCCTCGAAAAGACTATATCACGCCTACTTGTGTAGTAGTAGTGGTAGTTTTTTTATTGTCAGAGGAAAAACGTGATGGTGTTCTTTCTTGAAAAGCCGAGCTGCGGAGGTGAAGTTGCACGCGCCGCTCTTTGCGATGATTGGAGGATCCCACTCCAGTAGAAAACCCCTGCCTCCTGAATATAGTGCCGTTCTTCGTTGGTAACATCGTTCTGGTACCGCTTTCGCATTTCTTCAGAAACGGTGCTGCCAGCCTCACGTCGTGCACCTATGTACTAGCTTGCAATCTCTTCTTTCCCTTAAGGATTTCTTCCACATATACGTTGCAATATAATTCCAAAACCTCTCGTTCCTAACCATCAGCTTTACAATTTCTCCGGGATCAGTCTCTCACCTACTTGCAATTCAAAAAGCTGTCTCCTGGAATTTCATCTGGGGAAGTCAAAGAATGTGTGCCTTAGGCTGTCGTCCTCCGCACAGAAGCCGCACTGCGGTGTGTTTATCTGCTTGAGACGATGCAGGTAGGCGTTAGAAAGTCCATGGCCAGTGAAAAACTGAGAGAGAATAAAATTAACCTCTCCATGGAGCCTGTCATACGACACATCTGTGTCCGGGATGAGCAAATGGTTCCATGTTGCTACATGTTCTTGCCATTTACGTAGCGTGATGGTTCTAGTTTGTGCGTTAGTAATTGGGTCTCCACTTTTGCATCTATGTATTGTACAGTAGCTTGATCGATTGGCTGTATTCTCGCCACTACCAGTACCGCGTCCTCTCTCTCCGATAAGCGCTGACTAAACGAAGTGCGGCTACCCGCTGTACTGACGCCAGACTCTTCCCATACTTCTGCAAGTCTAAAATATCTGTCCATATTTTACCGCCATACAACAAAATCGAATGCTCAACACACATGAGCGTTCGTCTCTTGGTCTCTTGCTCACCCTAGGTCCATTTATATTGGGCATGAGTTCGGATAGCGATGCGACTATTTTAGCTGCTTGAATATACTTGGAATGCGTCAGCTTCACGTCGATTATCTCTCCTAGATATTAAACCGTGTCAGATGCTTCAACGGTCACACAACCAAGAGCAACTTTCAATTCAATCAATTTCTTCTATCTTGTCAGCACTACTAGCTCTGTTGTACCAACTGCTAGCTGTAGACCATGAAGCTTGAGCCAGTCACGCAGCTGCACCTGGGTCCCTCGCTTGAACGATTGCAACGATATCATATGCATTCCCAATGAGCCTCGCCCAGTCCGGAAGCTCCATTCTCGGTATTCCGTCATACATGATGTTCCAGAGCTCGGGACCAAGAACAGATCCTTGCGCAACCACAGCTGTGACTTGCCTTCTTTCTAACCCCTACGTTGTTTGATAAATCAATTCCCTGTCATGGATTTAATCCGCTAATACGTTCAGGAGATACATTTGTCACCTTGAATTGATGCTCAAGTACGGCAAGGCTGTCCTTCCACCTGGCAGAATTGAAGGCGTTTTTGACGTCTAGGGTGACCAGCACGCAGGAGTTTCGCGTCCTATGATTTCCTGTCCAAGTTGAGTTGGTATAATCCATCACTTCTTAAATGGCATCAATAGTTGAATCGCCAACTCTAGAACCATGCTGCCTTCCGGAAAGCACAAAATTACGCGTGTTTGCCAATAGTTTTAAGTCTTTTGGTACATGTTCATATACTAAGTGACATATAAATCCGAACACCTAGTTTAAATGGTTTTATTTTAATAAAATTTGGTATAAGTACTTAATGAAGCATAATAAGTAAATGATAAAAATTTCAAAATAATTGCACTGCTTTAAAGCCCTTTGACCTTTAATAATGTGTGGATGCACCCTGATGTGCTACGCATTCTCCAACGCGCCTAGGCATGCTTCTGATCAGGTGGTCAATGTCCTCCTATGGTATCTCATTCCAGGCAACCACCAACTCCTCTCGAAGTGCTTCTAGAGTCTGAGGAGGACGTTGCAAATTGAGCAATCTCCTACCCATCATATCCCACACGTGCTCAATTGGGGATAAGTCGGGAGATCTTGGTGGCCATGGTAACAATGTGACATCATTATGTTGAAAGAAGTCTATTGTGACTCTTGCAACATGTGGTCGGGCATTATCTTGTTGGAAACTTGGATCTGCCAGGGTGTAAAGATAGACTAAAAGATGGGGTTCTAGAACTTCGTGGATATAACGCTGCGCGTTCATGTTACCTCTGATGAAGATTAAAGGTGACCTGGAACCATAAGCTATAGCACCCCAAACCATAACTTCAACAGTGTGATGAACATGTCTTTCAACAAAAAACTGGGGATTCCTCCTTTCACCACGTCGCCTTCTAACCCTGGCACGACCATCGTGCATACCTAAACAAAATCTAGACTCGGCACTAAAGACAATACTGTTCTATTCCTGATCCCAGAGTGACCGTTGTCTGCACCACTCAAGGCGATTACGTCGGTGTTCTCGAGTTAAAGGGAGGACCCAGTGTGGCCAGTATGAAAACAAGCCAAAACTTCTCATTCGTCGGTAAACACTTCGCATGCCAATAGGTCTTCCGTGTTCTGCAAACCATTCATTTGCAATGGACCTGGTAGTGGAGAAACGGTCCCTTAAGGCCAATAATCTTAGGTGGCGATCTTCACGGTCTGTTGTTCTACGGCGGCGTCCAGTGCCCCTTGCTCTTTGCGTATGTCACTTAGTATATAATTGTGGAGGCAAATAGAAGAAACGATCGCTTCATTATGGACTTACGAGGTTTAGGGACAGTTTTTGCATGTAATTTATGTCGAGTATCGAGTTTGTGTGATTTTATCGCGCTCACTGACACCTTTGTGATAATGGCTGATAGTTTATAATATTTATATAATAAAACGTTTGTTGTATATAATTTTGGTTTTTGGAACATGGTTTTTAAAACAGTTCTCGGTAAAACTTCTTTGTCGCTTAAGTACGCTGGACATGCGGTATCCCATGCTCATATGCCATACATTAGGCGCGGCTCCATTAAGAAATGATATTATAGTACTCATATGATTTTCTGTCAATGTGCCTATGAAGAATTTAATTTTGTATGAAACAAATCTTATTTTCTTCAAAATGTAGGCTGCATGACTGTCCCATCTCAAATGTTGGTCCAAAAAATTCCTAAATATTTGATATTATCCACTCTGTCAATTTTCAAATTTGTATTGCTTATTTTGAAGGACAGACTTGAATAATCAGATAGGTGGCTTACCGATGATAAGACTAGAAACTGGGTTTTCCAAAGTTCACGGTTGAGTTTCGAAAGTTGAAAAAGTCAATGATTTTACAAGAGTCATTTTCACTTATTCTCTTTACATCATACCAGTCTGGCCCTTTATATAGTATTACCGTATCATTAGCAAAACTGACTATTTTACCTGCTGAGTTAATTTTGAATGCACAAACCTATGGAATTTTCTCATCAAGGTTTTGGGTGATCTGATTCACTAGACTTAGTATACCATCTGTGGTAGATTTTTCTGCTACAAAACCATATTGATATATATATATAGTGATTTTCTTGTCCAGAGAAGACGGCTACCTTAACCAGTCGATCTGCCATTTCACTACCTCGAAGGTTTCAAATTCAAGTGATTGGATGAATTGTTGATGAGGCAGAGAGGGACATACAGTTCTGAGCGAGTTGGTTACCTTAGCTTTATTTCGAAAACTTCAAAGGTTTCGCTCAAATGAAACTCGGGTATTGGTATACAATAATTTAATAAGATATGCTAAAGAGCAATATCATCCTGTTTGTATCTCTTTTGGTACGTGTGTATCTGCCGTAGCAACTTGGTCAAATGAAACGCCATCTGGGGATTGTTGTAGTCCTTGAAACTGCTTGCCGCCTCTTTGCATTCCTGTGACATACTTCCTTGGCTCGCCTTCTGTTTCAATGATTTAACCTTCCAAAATACAAAAATGGTGTCAAGTAGGTTGATTCGAAACAGGTCCAAATTAGTCTCTGGACATTCTTTCCCTGCCCTACCGGTAGTGCATCTGGAAATGTCGCCATTCCCCGGTCAGATATGACAGTGCATAGGAAACACTCACCAAGGCCGGCACGGTGGTACGCGATTCTTCAGCTGAGAATATTTTTAAGTTTTAAGGGATAATGTACGGAGAAGTCTATGATGTGAGAAATATGTGTAGTAGGTGCTTAGAATTACCAAGGTTGGGAGGAAATAGATGTACTAACATTAAAAAATAAGATAAGCCCTCCCCACCCCCCTACAAGCCCCACCCAGCCCAAGGTTTCTTACCTCTAAATTTTCTTTCAAAAATGATCAGATAATCTTAAACGTTTTAAAACGAAGTATGAGCGACTTTTATTCTTTTTTGGTTTTGCCTTTTTTTTTCTTCTGCCACTGGACAGATTTTAAAAAACTATAAAGGTTTTGTGTCCTTGGCATACTTGTATATATATATATATAAAGAGAAAATGATCATGCGGAGGTATACCTATAACAAAAAAATAGGAAAATAATGGGCTAGATCCGCAGAAAGAAGGAAGGTGGATTCGAGCAGAAAAAAGGATAGGTAACCTGAACAATACATATTTCTGCTTGTTGGCTTCATCAGGCCTGAAATGAATGCACATATGCAACCACAAAAGTAGATACACATGTCCGTTCATCCGGATACGGGTGTAACCTTAGGAAACTAAGATGAAGAGGGAAACAAATGGCACACGAAGTCCCCAACAAGAGCCAACCTACACATGGTAGTATAAAATGGCTAGAAGACCTCGAATTTTCAAGGCGACATCTAACCACAACCACGCGGTCCGTTATAGCCACATGCTGTGGTAATTCAAGCTCAAATGATCTACAAAGTGAAAATGACCATGCGGAAAAAGGTATATAATAAAAAATAGGAAAATAATCTAAAGTAATCTGTGGAGGAATGGCTCAACTACACTCATTCTTGGTTGCATATGATTTGTGAAGCCGAGTAGTCTATAGTTTTCATCTCTGAGAAGAAAGTTGGTTGAATAGCAAGACCGCATTTGGATGATTGTGCATTGGTCTGCATATGTATAAAATCATTACTGAATATGCTGGGTTATACGGGTTATTTATATGTTGTCCTTTCTGAAGACAGGTTGAGTTCAAAGTTATAAATTAAGATTTTTTTACGTTTTTTTTTGTGTTTTCAAAAACTTCCAGAATGGATAAGAAAAAGTGGATGCGCACTAATTTCTAGCTTTGAATCTCAAGTAAGTGTATTTGAGATGAGAATTCAATGGGTTTATCATCAACACATATTATTAGAACACAAAGCCTCACTATGCACCTATGCATTGCCGTTACCTCCAGTAATGCCATCTCTGAGGCAGATTTTACATCACATCAGAGCCAAACATTGATAACTTAAGCCTCATGATGTTTAGGCAACACGTACAACTACAAAACAAGTTCGCAACGTGTCCATCAGCTAGTGCTAAGTTAACATCTTGCAGAAAAACCTACATAATGTCACAAAAAATAATATAAGGTCAAAAAAAATCGACAAACTGTCACTTTTCAAGTTAAGTTATACCCGTGCTGAATATACCCTTTTTGTACTACGTCGTATCACTTTATTCCTGATGTGTTCCATCCTCAAAAATGTCAACATAACCTGCTGGTTTGTCGGTTCTTGGAAATTGGTCCAGTGGCGGCGAAGCAAAAAGTCAACACAAAAAAATCGCTAAAACTTCGTTTTTTGATGTTTCAAAAGGATCCTGATCGTTTTTGGTTGTAGGGGGTGGGGTAGGGTATATTTACATTATTTGATGTTACTAAAAATATATGCTCCCAACCTCGGTAATCCTAGCCACTTACTAGACATATTCCACACATCATATATTTCTTCGTACATTTGCCCTTAAAACTTATAATGCTGGTTTTGGTAAGTGTTCTGATATTACTACTGCGCTGTCGCGTCTGACCCTTATCGGCTATCGTGTAGAGGCGACGTTACCAGCTGGACTACCGGTAATGCAGGGAAATAATGTCTATCGACTAATTGCATGGACCTGTTTGACTGACTTGATCCGTTATATTCCTTGTTATGCATGTTTTTAGCTGATAGGGACTAACTTGTGCCAAACATAATCCTTTGTGAACTGATGACGTCGTTACGTGAGAAATCAACCCACTTCACTCAATTTTTTTTCATTATAAACTAACCTCATCTGCAATTAATGGAGACATAGACATGGACATAGACTGGTTATACATAACTATATTTTCCAAACCCTCAATTATATTTCGCACAATCGTGGCATTATGTATATTTTGCAACTCCTTAAGTCTCCCTTCCCAGTTTGTTCCAAAATCATCACGTATACTTTGTTGCTGCTAATTGTCTGACCTATTAATTTATTTTTCATAACCACGTGATCAGTGGCTAATCCTTTACAAGTTGTTGTCATGGTTTTGACGACAATCGAAAAGTTTAAGGGTAGCGTCGAAGGATTTCTCAAATTTCAAGTGAAAAACTACCACAAACAAATAACGAAATCATCAGTGGCGGATGTGCAGTCTTGGCCGCCCTAGGCCCGAGGCCATGTAGCCGCCCCTTTCTCAGTATTCATTATATACCTATAAACTAAATAATTTGATCGAAATTGATTCAGAAATTTAATTAAGTATGATAGCTGCTAATTTGTAATATCTTCCAAGGTTTCAAGGATAATTACACGTTTAAATAAAACAGTTAAAACGGCTTTAGGGTTTATTAATTCAACTAGTTTAACTACAAGTTCATTCCCATACAATAAAAATGAGTGTTTTACAATATTACAAACTCGTCTAGACTTAGGCGCTCCAAAATTATTAATTAAGTATTCACAGACCAACTTACTTAAAAAAATCTGCTTTTGTGTTAAGCAAAGCAAGATCGTTCAGCCGTTGCTCCGTCATTGTCGTGCGTAAATAATTTTTAACTCGTTGCAAACAACAATCGATCGTCCTCGGTAAGAGTTACTGGCGGGAGTACACACACACACATTATGAAGAGCAATATCCACGTTTGGGTAAATGGTTTGAAGACCTTCGGTTCGTAACCATTTCAAAAAACTGATAGCACTTTTTCGATTCTCTTTTTTTACACTGCAGTGAGCATGAAAATGGAGACATTCTTCTGAAAAGTTGTCTTCCAAGTCAATAGAATAAGCCATTTGCAATGCTTTGGTCTTTTCTTCGACTTAGTTTCGTCAAGTTAGTAATAAAATTAAATGAATTGTAAAGTAGTTTATAAGCATCTCGTCGCTTTTGAGCTCTTCTGAGAATGTATCAATTATTACCAAAAAAGTGGTGATTCTGAAATTGTGAACTGCATTAGTGCCGCTAGGAAGTAGGTTACGTTTGCGATTACGTCCAACATCTCTTTCATATTCCTGAACAAATATTTTTTGGATTTGTTCTCGAAATAATCGAAGTTCCCGCATTTCGCCAATAAAATGTATCAATGCCTCATACGAAAATGGTAATGTCAATTTCCATACTCTGAAGTTTTTTACTTGTGGCGCTAATACGACTCGGTAAACACCCCCAAAACACAGTCATGGTGGCTGTTTCAAAACGTTCCAGTTCCCGACGAATACCTCTTGCTTCGCATATAATGGCCCTCTTCTGTAGTGTGTCATTTAGTGAGATTATTATGCGGCCCGCCATAATGTGCCTGATTCTTTAGAATATCTAGGTACTCACTTACTTCTTGATATCATCAGAGAATGTTTGGTTACAATTGGCTGCCCCTAATATCTGGCCGCCCTAGGCCCGGGTCTACAGCGCCTATGGCAAATCCGCCACTGGAAATCATTGTAACATTAACGGCCGTATTCACCATTCCCTAACAGACTGTTAAATTGTTTAACACATTGTTAAATCCATTTTTAGTATTCACCATAGCAAACGGTCTGTTAAAGTCATGGATAAGTTAACAGCGCGATGTTGGACTGGTAAACCACTAACTGACTGTTTAATTCTAAAACGTCAAAAGTGTCATCCCGACTTTATATTGCCTGGAGATTTCGTAGAAGTGATTTACAAAATACAGTCAGCGGACAGCGAGTAGGGGCTTGTTACTAACGTTACAACAGCCGTTCAAAAATAATATAAAAACAATTATAGCTTATATCGCAAAGCCCTGTTTTTATTATTTCACTCACATATTGTAATGCTTTGTTGGTTTATTAGTATCAACCGATATTTCTGCTGGCAGGTTGTCTAAGCTGTCTAAACTGTTCGCCTAAAATACTGCAAGCCGAATATCGTTAGCATGCTCCCTACCGCTTTGTTGGTTGTGGTACAAGATGTGGAGGAAATATGACATAGTATAAAGATGGCGCTTAGCTGCTTTTCTGCAAAGCAACGGGCATATGGGTATGTACATGATCAGTGCAACATGATCCGGAGAGGATTTGATAGGGTCAGCAGAAGGGGTATCATCTGTAGTGCGGTGGTGAAATCGCAAAGTAGGAAATACACACAGCTAGTGCAAGTCACTGACTTAAGGTGTGCACTACAAATCTTGCAAAAATCACAATCGAATAAACGTAGCTCAAGTCTACACTCACCTGCTGTTTTAAAGCAAGGACCTCCTTGTACAATGTCATCACCATAGTAATTTCCTCCTCTTTCTTGTTGAGCTCTACCTCTAGCTTCTCTAATTCTTTGATTGTCTCTTCGTCCTCATTAGTAGCCTTTTGAGAGAGATCTCCATAGCGCCTATTGAGAACATCCAGTTATACTCAGAGTCTCACTTCAAAATCCTGCTATTAATGTATCAAATAAACAAATTCATTCTTTTGATTTTGACAACTTGCAGATGCTGCTGTATATACAGGGTGACTTCGAAGTTGAGTCATTTATTTTAACAGTGAGTAGATCTGATCAAAAGAAATGTTTTTTTCCTTTAACATTTTTGTGGTAAAATTAAAGTAACAAAGTTATAGACCTTTAGAAGTTTGAGGACCGCCCTGTCTCAATAATAATATTATGTGCTCGGGTTTGGCAACAACGGATATAATCCGCCTTATCGGTTCATCGCATTGGAAACAAAAAAGAATTTGAAACGCTTATCACGATGTTTTTACTACAATTTTATTCAGTTGTATTCAGTCAATGTGTCAGTCGGTAAAGCGTGAGTGAATAGTGGTGTTTGTTGCGTGGCTCAAACGAAATAAAAAATGGCACATGTTTGCGAAAATGCTGAACTTGTGGACATAATTATTATTTACGAGGGGGAGGGGAGTCTTTACAAAATGCTGCCGCGGCATCACGGATTTGTGCGGATCGGTTTCCCAATCGAGTGCAACCAACTCCTCGTGGCTTTGTTAATGTAGTACAAAGGGCTCGTGAATCAGGTGACTTAAGACCTCACAGGGGAGGGCATGCCGGTGCTCCAAGATCGCACGATCAAATACAGGTCCGCGCTGAAATACTTGTTGGGAGGATACTTTATAAAACAAGGTAACATTTTTTTTTATCTTTTTTTATTTTTACACACATATTTTGGTTTATCTTCCTTCTACAATCATTATCTGAAAATTAATGACTCAACTTCAAAGTCATCCTGTATATTGGATAGATAAAATTTACGAAAATACTCCAGATTTTTTGCCGTTTTAATGTCAAATAATACTAGCTCTACATATCAGAAAGGCAATCATATGTCACCCTTCAGATGCTGTCATCAATTTATGAACGATGTTCTTAGGCACAAGTTCAACCCTCAGATAAAAGAAGTAAGCTACGAACATGTCTAACAAAAGAAATAATGGATTAGCCATTCAAACATGCCTATATAATTCGTTCACAGTTTCTACCCATTTGGCAATGTTGCGATTTAGAAATTTCTGCCTTGCCCTACCGACAATATCAACCATCTGTCAACGTCGTCTTGACTGACCTCGTCATTCGCCAGCCACCCATCAATTATAGATACGTCATACCCCAACACGCGATGCATGTGTGTCTAGAGACGCGTGTGTTGAAAATACTGCTCATTCATTATAAGAGCAATATCTCGAGGGTGAAAATTTTTCTTGAAATGATCAGGAGTCTTTGAAATATTAGAAAAACACAACATGTGCCTTTTGCTTCTTTAAATTTTTGCCTGTAGATTCAGCACTACCGAAACGATTTTTTAAAACTGCAAAGCTTGTGTCATAGTTTCATCGACATCCCACCGGTAAGTTTATAGCGTATGATTGGTGGACTGATAGACTGACAGACTGGTCGACGAAAATGGGTGACCCAGTATGTCGTAATGTGCAGGTTATATAGCATCCGAACTTTTTGACGATTATTAAACTTATCAGTGTCGTGGGAAGCAAAACTTACTTATTTAGGCTCTCAAAGTCGCTGTGAAGATTCGTAAGCACCTCTTTCAGGTTTTTCTCTTTTCCTTGTAAAGGATTTTCCATTACTTGTTCATTTCCTACCGCAGTCTGTGTGGTTGTATATCCATTTCTTTCTTTTCTGTTCTGATTTAGATTTTGTGCTTTCTTTGGTTGAGCGACCTTTTTATTTCTCCATGTCGATGACGACTGAGAACAACGATAATAATGAGTCCTACCAAAAAATGTATTCTTCCAATTACATATACTCTTCAGAGAGAAATTCAGTGTTCCTTGCCCCATGTAGCAGAAGTCCTGTTGATTTTAAGGTGAGAGATGAAAATGAAATATGAGAAGAGACTACCCTATTTGTCAAAGTTACCTGTGTGACCGACAAATGATCTTCCTAAAGTCCGTACCACATTTATGTGTACAAGTGCATTGTCTCTGGGACATTGTGGTACTTATTTAGGAATGCAATGATCTCAAACTTAACTATGTGACAGTCATAGTAGACCGTAACAAGTAACTCTTGCTGTACGACTAATAACTACCTTGAATACCATATCCGAGTTAGGGGCAAAAACGCACTATTTCTAGGACATTGCGAGGTCCGCTGCCCATTGAAGCATTTTTAAAAAAATAAATTGATCCTCATACCGTACTGCCAATTTGGGCACTTATATAGAAATAAACTAATTTTAAATATACCTTCGTAACTGTAGTACAAGACGGTACCATACAATTCCTGCTGTACCGTCTAACAACCTCTTGGAAGTCCATACCCGACTTGGGGGCACAAGTGCACTGCTCCTGGGACATTGTAGGATCCGCAGCCCATTTGGGCATGTCCCTGGTACGAATCTCCATGTCACCTGTAGGCCCTGTTACAATAATGGTTCGAGTAACCGGAGAGTCTCCGTCGTCTTGTCTTGCCGCCTCGGCCTCTTCAGCGGACTCTTCAGGAATTGTCTTGGCCATGTCTTGCAGCTGGTGGTAGTTTATCATGTTGTTCGATAGAGGGCACCTGTAGCGAATGACTGAATGAATAATTTAGATTTTGTTCCTAATTTTAAAGCTCAGGTTGCCATTACATGAAGGCAGCAACTCTTTCCAGAAGCAACCCAACTCAACGGCAACTCTATTTCAACCCGCAAGACTATTACGAAAAAGCCTATATATAGCATCAGAATGTCACTTTGTGCACTAGGTAGCCGCTAGTATTCCGCTCGTTCATTCTACGCCTGGTAGAAGTGAGTCAATGTTAGCCAGTTGAAAGGTGACATTTTATAGGTAAGCCTATGTATTGTCATAAAAAGTCGATATAATGTCACCCTTTAAGTTACGTAATACGGGTGTTGATTTCAACTTCAGTTTCGATGCTTTTGCTTCTCACAGAAAGCAACTGCTAGGCCACTGGTGGACTCGATTTGAGGTTGTGGAAAAGTCACTAAGTATGTAATTTCTAGGAAGAAAGCGGAAGATGCATAAATAAATTATTCTTAATCTCATCTTTATCCTGGCTGATCTTGTTTCAAAGCTATACATCATATTATAGTATCCTACAATCTTTCAATCCACAAAACATGCTTGCAAAATGTGGGTTGCAGCGATATAGGCCGACATCAGCAAAACGGACGTTGTGTCATTCTTCCATGAGTTGGTGGACTACCTGAGCAGACTGGTACTTAGTGCAAATTCTGCAATCGCAACTGTATAATACCGTTTCAAGCACTTTATAAAATGGCCACTGAATGATAAATATCATGACTACCAAATGTGTCGGTCTTATGTATTATGACACAGATAGTATTATTTATTCCAAGGATATTGCCAATTGTAACGCCAGATCTCCTAAGCTGCGAAGCCCTAAGGGATTATTCTCACCAAAAGTAATCCGATGTTATCGTAACTTCAACATGATTTTGACTTTTAATTTCTCACCGAGAGCAACTGCTAAGCAACTGGCAGCCGGGCTTTTAATAATGTAACTTCTGAAACTGATCCTGTGGCTTTCATGTCGATACTCCCCAATATTTGTCTGGTCAATCCAAGTCACATGTGTTAAAATATCTTTATTGGTCACAACGACGACCTTATTTAGTATAATGACTTTGACAATAAATTTCATTTATCTGAGATAATAGTCATTCTACTAAACAAGGTCAGCGTTGCGATTGAAACGTTTAAATTAAGAATATTTCTTCAACACAAGTGATTTCGGTGGGTCAGAAAAATATGATGGATAACTGGGTATAGAGGTTGTGAGAAACGTAACTAAGTATATACTCACTAGTAAGAATGGGTAATATTTTATTATTGAAAACTTTGAATACAAGAAAAGCGTATAAGTAACGTATTCATACATGAAAAATACAGTGTGCAACGAACGATCTTTGGAAGGTAACACTTTTGCGAAAAACATACTCTGAATCTTATAACCCTTCGTGAACTATTAACTTGTCACATTTCTTGTAACAATTTTAGCTTTTCTGGAATGTTCTTAACACTGCTGCTCCGACTGAACCACTTCAAAGGGCACAATGATGACACGATCGGAACGTTAGCCCAAGTGTCACAATAACATCCACAGATGTCATCTTCTTCTTCTGGTAGTACCAGCAACCATTGAGCGACTGATCAGATTACCATAACTTTAGTGCGAACGGTTATATTTGAATATATATATATGCTGAGAGGTTGCCGTGGGGTTGCGGTCGCCAGTTACTTTCTGTGAAAAACCGTCTCAAAGGACATTCTGTTATAAGCGTCATACTTCAGATGTTAATAGTTTTTTAAAAATCACAAAAATATTTCATGTCTTACCTTGATCCTCTATAGCTTATCCTGGAATTGATATTAGAAACTAAGACCGACAACGGTCTACTATTCAGCTTTTCAGCTGCCAGACCAATATTATGAGCCAATGTTGGAGAAATTCCATTCACCGGATGCCTGTTCTTTATGATATTCAACACTTGTTGTATGTTAATTCCGATATTGTGACTCGGTGTGGTCGAAATGGCGGTCACGAATGGAATGGCCTTGAAGTTGAAGGTATTCATGTACACCTTTGCAGCTTGCTTCATCCTTGAAGCTATTGTTGGAAGCTCATAGTTCTTGTAGTAGCATTTATCATTTCTGGGGGCTACAGGTGGGTCATATTCGTCCCTTAAATTGAGAGAGTGTTTCAGTAACGGGTGTTCTGAATGTTGGGAGTAGCTTGTGAAAATAAAAATAAATTTTCTTGATGATACAAACTAAAAAGTCTTAAACCTTACTCAATGACAAAGAAAGTATAACAATTAGAAACATGATTTGATTTGAATGTATACAGTTACTCAAAAGCAAGAGGCCATAGTGACTCAATTTTAAAGTGAAAACATTTTGGGCATCGCTAGTATTCGTTAATAATGTTTTATAAATTCGTTATGTCGTCGTGGAATGTTTCTGATGAGGTGATTTAAGGCTGTACTTGATTTCGAAGAGCTGCTAACGTTGGTGGAGAATAGAGTAAATAGGTCTGTCTTCTTTCCACCATATCCCACACAAGTTCAATTATCGAATGGAAATCTCGGAGGCTGAATAAGGAGGTTGATTTGACGGTTATTCTGGTAATCCAATGCAGCTCTAATAGTATGGGAATGGTTACTGTTGAAAAATTAGCATTTTCAGACATGTGAAGCAATGGCAAAAGATGAGGATCTAATATTTCCTGCGCCACATGTAGTGGCCCCTGAAACCATGACTCCTACAGTATGGTTCAAGAAAATTGAGATAATGAATGGCATAGCCATGTTCTTAGAGATGATCTCGGTACGGGTATCATGTAAAAAACCTATAAAACGTCAAAAAAAACCTACCTATAAGATGTCAACTTGCAGACTAGGTAGTTTTTAAGGCGCAAACAGTGATTCCACGTTTGCTCACTAGGATCGTTGTGAACGTCCATCTATTTAGGAATCACTCAACTGAACTACACACATTATTGGTTGCAGAGTTTTGTGAGGCTGAGTGAACCGTGTCTGTAGTTCTTATCTTTGAGAAAAAAGTTGGTTGAATAGCAAGATCGCATCTGGATGATTAGGTGAATTGGTCTACATGTGTATAAAATCAGTGATATTTGCTGTGTGGGAAAATCATAACTAAATACGCTGAATATGACGGGTTGTTTATATGTTGAGCTTTCTGAAGAGAAGTTATGTGTGTGCCCGACGGGTTACTTATATGTTGTCCTTTCAAAGTTATAAATTACGAAAAACTGAGGAGAATTACGGTAAATCAACACCGCGCCCGCGTTGTGTGTAGTTACTGTTAGCATGTACATAGCTTGTACTTCGACAGTGTACAGTGAATATAATTATTTCTTATGACACACAAAGATTGATAACAAGACTCATGATGTTAGTACAACTAAGTGCTAAGTTAACATCTTGTAGAAAAACCTACATAATATCAAAAAAAACTAGTATAACGTCAAAAAGAATCGGCATAATGTCACTTTTCAAGATCCGTGATATCCGTGCGGTTCGGTTTAGGAATCTACCATGGATGGGCACGATTCAGAAGGCGTTGAGGAGTCAGACGTAGCGTAAAGTTTCAGAGATGACGTCACTTGCACCATACTATCTTAGAGGATGAATGATGGCGTAGCGGTATATCAAGGAAATGCTATAACTCCATTTTCTTGCCATACCCTCTAACGCTTGAATAGGTACTCTATTTTCCAATTAAATGATGCCTATCCCCGTATTGCAAGAGCTACAATAGACTACCTCAACAACGCTTAAGTCAGCATCGTTTTTTGGCCTTCTATATATCGAGAACTTCTGCTCAATGAATTTGTTTGAGACATGATAGAAGACAAAGTTGCCTCGTTACCTCATCCTCCACAATCACTTGCAGCATGTCGGAACAGCTAGATTAGGATGAGGTACTTCAAGAAGAGGCAAGAGAAGACAAATGTTTTATTTCAAAATTCAACCACCACTTCCTCATGCTCACATCCAAATGTATATAAAAATTCACTCAGATAAAATCATTTTCAGAGGGCATTCTATTTTCTCTGTCACTGAATGTATTACCTATCATAGCTAAAAGACTGAGGGACAATAACGTTGGTTCCAATCGTAGCTGTTTGGCTCACTTTTGGCTCTACAGAGCTTGTACCATCATTAATATTTAAAGGAGGAACATCCACATCCACTTGTCGAGTAATGGCACTTGTGCTTAGCATCATCCTGGCGTTCCTTTTGTTGAAGTTGGTTTCTTCAGAATCGCTGTTTCTGGCTGCGACGTTGTGGTAGATTTCTACTAGCTTGTCAGGTTTGGAACAGGGGAGCTTGTTGCTGTTGAAGATTTTCCTGTGCTGTGAAATAAGAAAGCAGCGTTTGTCACTTTGACTTTTTTTTAATATGAAAATGAATTGGATTAATCCAAAGTGGATATTTTCGATAACTGAGGAAGATCGTATGTATGAGGATTGGTTTCCTAGTGGTTTCCCCAAGGAGAGGAGTTATCGGACCAGGAATCACTATGCAAACAAGATAACGATCAGAAACGTTGATTAAAATTGCGTTAACACCGTTTGCTTAAACATTGAATTGGTGACAATTGCAAACCAGGATTTCCTTCTTTCCAGCCCCTAATCTCAATCCGATTGAATTTTTTTAAAATGAACTTGGTCGGGCGGTCATAAAACAGCATTCAATGTGAAAAATATGCTAGAGCAACTACAAATGTCTACTTTTGTAGGCAACGTGACTAGAATTCTTCCAACTATCGCAAAATTTATGAATGTGAAAAATGGATTTTCAGACCAAACAGTCGTATAAATTACCTTGCAAAAGAGTTATTACTTGAGGTAACTTCAATTTCTCATTTCATTTTTAATTGCTGTCATCACGTATGAGCAAACATTTGAACGACAGTTTAATCAAAATGCCTTCAAAAGATCTATGCTCGAAACAATAAGTGAGAATTTTCACCTGTACAATTGACGTGGTCCTTTCCACTAGTGAAGTCCGACTGTACTTTGATCTCCTATCAACCTTTGTAGGCCTTTTAGGTCCTGGAGAGGAAGTTGGTTTTCTAGCACCTGGAGGGTAAACGTCTTTCATCACATTTTGCTTGCCTTCTTTCGATTTTCTCTTCGCTGCCTTTAGTTTTTTCCTTTCATCAACATTGACACTTGCATCAGACATGTTCGTACCTCCTGCAGGTGGTGTGAAGTCTTTCTGGTTTCCTACTGTTTTGGAGCTGACTGGGGGAAGAGTTGCTGCATCTAAAACAGCAAAGCGCATTTTATCCAAGTATACGTTTATCTATCTATATATTCAAAGGTCACATTTTGTACTTTGGATGGGAAGCCTCTTTTTGACAACGACATCTTAAGAACAGAAAATTATACGTGGCTATATATTAAAATCTAAGATCAAGTTCACCTCCAATGGTTAAATGTGTGGCTCTTAGCAGGATAATTGATTAAAGAAACAATTAGGAACATGGCTATTTCAATGGTGAACTTGGATTCAACCTTGAACTTCACCTTCAAAGTCATATCAATTTCAACTTTTCTTAACTGGAAACCGGCATCTGATGCCGGCAATCGAAAATTTTACATTCTGATACGTTTTCATATAATACTATGGTATTTAGGGTGAGGATCAAGGTCAATAATGAAATCCGTGTTAGACGTTATGTTAAATCAGGGTCAAATCTCTTGCTCTTAGTCATGCTAAGTAAAATATTGTGGAGAATAATTCCACGTTTTATATGTAGTTCTTGAAAATTGAAATTTTAGTGAATATAATTGAAGAAATTCGACTAGTACTAAATACTTTTCTTGTACATACGGGGGGTGTTCGAAGACCTCCTAGTCCTAGGCGTTTCAGAAATCTGTAAATGTAGTTCTGACAGTCTGTTCACAGAGTTTGTAATGCCATTCAAAATGTTGTTGATGGTTCTCACAGCTGCTCCAGATGTGTCTGTTCCAATAGCGTTGGAGTTTTGTCTTGGAATGCTGGACCTTGCTTCGCAAGATGAGACTGAACAAGCTGATATAGACGCGAAAGTCGCTGAAAAAAGAATCAGTTTAAGAAATGTTGGCATAAATGCTGGCTCCGAATGTTCTAAACTTTTCGGTATGGTTTTAACATCGCCTCAACAGGAGTCATACTTTTATCGAAATATTATAGCAAGACCATAACCAGATCTCTTTTAATAAGCTAATAGCCCTTGAAGTTTGACAAGATTTTACTGATATAGTCCAAAATAATGTTTTGACTCTAAGCCATGGAATTATAACTATTGCATATAGAATATGGCAATAAATAAAATAATAGGTTGTTATGGAAGGTACTGCTGTAGAAAGCAAGAGTCTTCTTCGAATTTAAACGTGGTATACAAAAATTCAACCTCTGGAGAAGTTCTGGTGCAACCATTCTGTCGTGCAAAAGCTTGTGGAGAAATGTCATAAAAGCAATGAAACGTCTTAATGGCATAGAGTTGAAATGTCGCAGCGGAATAAATTGACTGAGATCCTTTCTGAATATACATCAATTTTATAAGTACAATACATGAGAAATTTTATTTGTAAATCTGCTGTTTATATAACATGCATACAAATGGTCCAAATCAAAGATGCGTACTCATATTTTGGTCGCTCCAGCAAAATAAAGCTGCTTCATTGGACAAAGCTCAGAAGTTACGCATTATAAGATCTAGACTCCGTGACGCTTTGAAGTCCAACCTACAGGTAAATCTTACACCAGGATCTATAGTCTCTGTTCTCTCCAAGTATTATTTATGGACTAATCAACGATAATTGAGCTCATTTTGCGACTATATGAACAAACTTTACACTTGGAAATGTCTAAGAAGAGAAAACTACTGTTACATCCCAAATAGTAAATTTTCTCACTTTAGTGAAGCGGCAAGGTTGTTTATGAAGAATGAAAACATCAATGGACCTAGGTTCGATCCTTGCGGCACGCCAGAAGGGAGGGTATGTTATATTGCTGAAGAATAACTATTATAATGAATATATTGCGTTCTATTGGAAAGATATGAGCGTAGTCGACCGACTGATGAGCTATTAAGGCTGAACTAGTTAAAGCTATGCACTATAAGATGACAGTTTAATTTATAAAAAGCCTTGCTAAGATCCATGTAAATAACATCCACTCATTTATTGTCTATCGATTCTGTTTGATGTAGTGGATCTACCTTGTATGAAGCGATACTGTGATGGTGTAATTAGGGTTTTAACGATCTCAAAGTTTAAAGAGTAAATTGCCGTTTCAAAAGCCGTTGCAAAGTTCAAAAGCCCCATAACTCTATCGTCGAGTCCTTTAGATTTATCACCATCTTTCAGTCCCGGACACATCTTTGCTATCTTCCAAACACCAGGAAAAAATCCGGTTTTCAATATAGTGTTATAAATTTTCAGCATCGACTTGACAAAAACACGAGCACAATCTATTGATAGACTGTTAAGCCAGTAGTAACTGTTCCTTTTGACATGTCATCTCTTTCCAAACGCTTTCCACCAAGAAATTCCTTAAGTATTGGAAAAGTCTGATGCTGGCCTACATCACCATATGCGTATGATCCAGTGATTCTCTCAACGAAACTGGTTCAGTTGCGTCTTTGCTTTTCTTGCATCGTGAGCATTTCCGTAAATCAGAATGACGTCGGCTGAGAGCAAGTCCCATCGGTGGTTTTGAATAGAGCGTCTAAGCTTCAATAATGTTCGACAGTACTCCTATTAGCATTTATTGCAGGACGAAATGCTATGCGTTCAAAGACTGAATTACTGAGCGCACACAATCGGCGGATTTACTGAGTGCCATGGCGACCAATAAAACAGTACATATGATATGATAACGCAAACAACACCGACAGAGATGCGAAATGTGATGGTGGCGTAGTGTAAGACTGGTCAATGGTGTCGAAGGTTATGCGCAATTGTTTCTTACTTTGACCCCTCTATGTGACATAATGTGCGCGGTAATATCCAAGTCGAACTAGACATGAATTTGGATGTTGCGAATTTAGTTAGGGATTTACTTTATTCATTCATTCATTTGGCAGTAGGATGAACCGTGGAGTATGTTCATTCTGACACCCTCCCAGATGCCGCGTAGGCATAGCAAACAAACTGAGCATGCTACGGGACTTTCAGACTATTGTAGTAACATACTTTATGAGGAGGTGCTAATAAAAGAAAAACAACAAACTGTCACCTGGAAGACAGTTGATCAAAATAAATTGTAATTGTACTGAAGACGATTAACCCTGTGCTTGAAACGCTTATGGTAAAGGTCATTCTGTCAATACACGCGGTTTTATTGACCACACAAGTATGGGGGATTTTCGAGATGTACGCTACAGAATTAATTTCTGATGTTACATTATCAAGATATATAATTATCACAATTCGGAAACATATTATCAACGTGGTTAACCAGCATAGCTGATACGGTGCTACACGGGTTAAAAAGCACACGCTACCAGACAACTTTTTTCTGTAAATATTTTAAATCCGTGCGCACGAAAAAATTATGTCACAGGTCACTTGGTACTACAGTTTAAACTCTGCGACAACCAATGGTACGCTGTGATAACAGACTACAAGAGCTTTGTGTTCAGCCAATGATGACTACGATTAGCACACAATATACAAAACCTCTTAGTTATTAACTTTTTTTTAGGTATACAGATAGGGATCAGTGGGATTCTTCTGGGCATTGATAAGTCTTTGTGGGCGATCACTTTCTTCTGTAGCATAGGTGGATGTTTTAACACACGTAACGAACTCCTGATCATTGACGATCAATTCTTCATGTACAATAATAACACATGAGTCATTTTGGACCAGAACGGGTTGGCCGTGGTACCAGACTGGCCCAAAATCACCCCTGAATAACTTCTTACCGGACTGTGGAGTTTTAATACACCCTGTTATTTTGATTTCCAGACTGCTTAAGGCTAGTACAACTGACAAAAACCTCCTATGGTAGATTGCATAACAGTTGCGACCATACCGGCCAGTTCTGGCTGTACGGAGTTCGACACGGTAAGGATTGGAGGCCGAAGTCAGCTGGGTCAGTCTCGCAAGCTCATTGGCGAAAGGGTCCAAAGACTGTACGTTAGAGAAGCGTCATTGATCAATCGGACATACCCTCCACTAAACAGCATCCTGACTGAAAATGTAGTCATGGCGGCAGCTCCCCAAACATGTGAACAGTACTCCAAGCTAGATCTTATCTTGTACAGAGTGAGGCGGTTATGTGTAGAAAAGTAATCCTTAGGCCTAAACAAAAGGATGGCCCATCATTTTCCATGCGGCTGCCGCGTATCGGTAATCTGGACTGCGTTTCGCTGCAATGAACGGCTCTTTGAAACTCGGTCATTTATTAAAACCAGATGAGCACTAGGGCGATTCTTGTCAAAGTGTGTTTTGAAATCATTAAATCATACCAGATATTTGCGTCCACAATTATTGATCTCTGCTAGTCTTCTTCTCTCCAGCTCACCGGTAGAGATTGGCCTGGAGTTCAGAAATCCTGTAAGTAGAGTGCTGTCTTCAGCAAAGCTGTGGATCGGATTGATCGTACTCGAAAGGAGGTATTTTATTTTCACTGTGGCGACACTCGTGTGCAAAAAGGAAGCCAGCTACCCCTTTGCAAAGCTTCTCTGGGAGTCCATAGGATAGAAGTTTGCATGAGAGGGCAACATACTTCGTGATATCAAGGGCAATGGCATGCGCCTCATGACATTACTAGATCAGCTTACTTCACAGATGACCTGAGATAGGAGTTCCCCCGGTAACCTCTGGTGGCCGAAATCAAATTGCCAGTCGTTATTCAAGCCGTCACGTTCAAGGTACTTCAAGAGCTCTAGATTTATGCACCTTTTCATCACCCCACTTATAACAGGAAGCAGAGCTATAGATCTGTAGTTAAAACGCTCGGTCCTAGATCCTTCTTTTCGGATGGGCTGGACGCTCCCAGTTTTAAATCAGCCACAAACCTCAAACATCCGAATTTACCCCTAATTTGGCCATGCTATTACTGCTCTGCTTCACCTCACTTGCACTGCCCTGCGTCTCAGCTTTCGCCAGGTCTATCGCTAGATCCGTACCTTTTTGTTGTTTACTCGGATGCAGGGAAAATTTTCTCGATATAGTAGTGGTCTTCTTAACACCATATACTTCTTTCATATAATCCAGTTGATCTTTCAGCGTATTGCATCTGTCCTCGGCCATTTCTAACTGCTCTTCAATATCTGGAACAAATCAAATTCACATAGTTACGCTATTGACATAAAAACAAAGCTTGATTAGTTTCCCCCACTATGTATTTCGCTCGTTACCGGTGAACGGACGGAAATTCACCATTTTGGAACTTTATTATAAGTGTAGTCGCCGTTCTTGGGTACTCCGTACCATGGGCGGATCTTCACATATACTACTCTCTCCAGTAGGCATGAAGTGGGTAAAAGGAGACCGCTGTTCTCATTCTCTTCATGGAGATACTCTAATAAACTTAGCACGAGATGTCGACCTTCTCCGCTGATCGTATTTCCGGTCATTGTACAATTTTATAATGAAGATTGATAACAGGACAACTCAAATTGCACGCCGATGTCAAGTAAGCTGTCACTCTGACAAATATGATTGAAGCGCACTCATACCTAACGAAATAGTTTTCGAGACGGACACATACAACTAAAAAATGTCTTTGAGCTTACCAAACAAACGTTCACACACAGGGGTGGTTGCATGTGTATGTATGAGATGATTATACGATTACATATTTAAAGGGATACTGGTAGTCTTACTTTGACCCACTAAGAACGGTGACTACAACTATACCTTTGATGTGACAAAAAAACACCCAGTATCCATAACCCTTATTCTTCCACCTTGTGATGGATGTGTCAATCAAAATGACTTTCCTATATTTTTTACCTTTTACAAGTAGTACAAGAGAGTGAAATCGTTCTTCATGGAATAATTGAGAGGAAATGGACATGGAAATTGACCAAAGAACAGACGTGTCAGGTCGGGGCTTTGAGAGGCCAACAACAGATTCTCATGTAGTGATTTTACACGAAAAACTGATCAAAAGAAAAACCGATAGATACATTATAAATATTGGTCTAGCATATGAGAAAATTGGATATAAAGTCACCATGTTGACTTCGCAATATGATAAAGATGACTGTGTGGCTGATATTATGGTAGGTTTCAGCAAAATGTGAAATTCTTGAATTATGAACACATATTTTCAAATACAAAATTTCTATACAAAAGAATTGTGCGAGTGCTACTAAAAATATCCATAATTTGGAAGAGCAATATAACTATTAGATTGGAAACGCATACTTTGACAAAATCTCTACTGGTATCCGGAAAGCCTGAAGAATTCGAGCCTCTCAGAAACGTTTTTGGGATATTCAGAAACCTGAAAAGCCTGATACCGGGAAGCTTCTACTTTTGTAGAGCACCAATACTTTTTTGGAAAATTGAAAGAATCGGTAAACATGGAAAAAATAGCTCATAATTTTACCATCACTCCACGGATTTTCAATACCTGTAAAAGTTATTTGTCCTTAACACAGCAGTGAGCTTTCCAGCTAGAGAGAGGTCATAATATCATAAGAATGTATATATGGAAGACATCTTTATTCTTTATCCTAAAGTGCTTGGTTTGCTTTGAGATTGCCTAAAAAATGTCAAGTCATATACAATATTCTTTTATGATACCCGATAGATGCTTAATTTTTAGGAAGTAGTAGTAGCATGTCTTCTACCTAACTGAAGAAAATATATAATCCACACCTTATTTTTCTTAAATTAAGATATCTACAGATCAAATGTAACTTTATTTAGTTTTCAGATAGAATCCACATCATGTACTCAGGCTGGTGGATGCCCAGAAGTATTTTAGGGCTATTCCGAAACAACATGTCAGCCTTCAAGGCTGCCTGGATGGCTTTCAGGCTGATATTCTGCCCTCCTCAACCTATACCAGAGCTGGTGGTCTTGGACGTAAGCCTTTGCGCTTTATACTTCCTGAATTGGTTTACAAATTACAAACTTTTCTTCGTTGAGACCTTTCAAGATTTGAGGAACACCGATGCATGTTTCGAACATTCTAGAATAACTCCTAGCTTACTAGATGCTAAATGGATAAAACTTGCAGAAGAAGTTATTGTTGAAACTGTAGGTTTTTCCGAGATCTTCAAGAAATCCTATCCATCATACTCGAAATCCCCAAAAGTATTGTATCCTTCAATAGATATAGGCCTTTGGAGTGAACCTGGCATCAATATTCAAAGAATAGTCCCAGATCTTCTGGAAAACACTATTATCTTTTTAACAATAGGAAAATTCAGGAGATCATCAAACTTTAAACTAGCTTTGGAAGCATTTGAGATGCTGCTAGAGATGATAGACGACAATCCGGTGACCAAAAGGTTCCAACTAGTTATTGCTGGTAACTGCAAGGCGCTAGAAGAGAAGTTTTATTACAATGAAATGATGGCTTTAGCGAAAGAAAAAAGATGTGGGTCACAAGTAACTTTCTTGAAGCAACTACCTATCATCCATGAGAAGACACTTATCATGGAGTCGGCTATTATGATTCATCCTGCCAAAAATGACGTTGCTTCAGACTTTTTGTTGAAGGCTATGAGCCTGGGTAAGCCCATCGTGGCTACAAACAAAGGGATAGCCTCGAAGATGCTGACTCATAGGCTTTCTGGTGTTATAATAGAGCCAGACGCCAGACTATTTGCAGTAGCCCTGAAGAAGTTGATGATGAGCCCACACTTGCAGGTCTTTTTGGGTGATATGGCTAAAGACACGTTTGATAAGCAATATTCCTTTGAGAGTTTTTGTGCAAGAGTTTGTCATATAATGAAGAAAACTATGCCAACGGACAGTAGTACAACTATGATATCTGATGTCACTGGTAAAAGTGAATTGACGAACAATATTAATTGAATTGTAGAACACTATATGTGGTTGTAAGGTATACGTAGGTTTGGTAAAATATATTCTGACATAACAACTGTGATTTTTATTTCAAGGGTTTTTTTATTGATTTTCACTGAATAGTTTTGCTTTTTTTACTAGAGTTGAATTTTATAAATCAACTATAGTTTAAACAGCATATTAAGAAATTGTGTTACATAAAAAACTGTTTTCGAAGCTTCATAAAGAATTTTCATACAGCTTTAAGTAACCACACAGTAGTACAAAGTTCCCAATTATATTGCATTTTTTTTCTAAATTTGATATTCTCTACGTTTTCTGGCCGTTAAATGAAACTCCACAGACGGTCAACCATGGACAGCTCTTTCTCTCTATTTGGCAACTCTTCACCAGGGTGTAGGTTTGGTCTCGGTGGACAACGAACGAAAGCTGAGCAACTATATTCTATTTAGATTTAGAGTATAAGGTCTATGGAAGTGAGACAGCACAAAGTTTCATCTATCACCAGAAGTCTGTTGGAACTGAATGACAGTTCGCGTTGTCGCAGGGTCACTCCTGCGGCGGCTAGATGCCGCCGACTGTAGCACTATAGACAGTCTTCCCGCCATTGAGCAAACTGGTAATATACCTCTTGCCAGTCCAACAACAGACGGCAAACCATTGACAATTGTTTCGTGCTAGTTAGCAGCTCTTCAGCATCTAGCTGTAGAGACATACACTCTTAAAACAAAATATCTCCAACAGTCGCGTGTCGACACGTGCGACGTAGTCCGGCTGATGGCTGTGTGTCGCAGGCGGCAGTTTCTTCCGCGCTGCTGAGGGCCGTATGCTGTAAAAGTCAATAAGGCGGGATGAGTCATAGCTACGATCATGTGCGCTCGACGGAATTTCTTACAGGGACAGGAGGAAGGTCATTTAGTATTTTGTGATAGGTACATGTTCGTAGTTAAATTTTTTCTCATAAGGGCTGGTAGCTAGTACCGAACGTAATACTTTACGAACTGGTAACAGCGTGGCGTGAAAGTACAGCGTTAACATACTCGACGCCATTTTTTATATGGAGATCTGTTTTTCCAAAATACCACTCTTCAGCAATACCTTTATCGTGATATAACAACAGAAAACAAGTGACGTTGAAGAAAATAACCCATGACAGCGATTGTCGATCACAGTACACAGCAAGAAAGAATGGATCAAGTCTTTGACAGGGCGGCGTTGCCATATTTCGACACATTGTTCATGCCTGTCCAGAAACATCGTTTATAAGAGGTTTATAGTAACTTCATAGTTGACTGTCATCTGTAATATGTGAATATGTGAATCATACACGCAAATACTAAGTTTTGGGATAAATAAACCAAAAATGTATATTTGGTGAAAATAAGTGTAAAAATAAACTAAACCTGGATCCTGTAGAAATATTAGGAAAATCAGCAAATTGAGAAACTAAAATATGCTTTTCCAAAATTAAAAAAATAGATAAGTAAACTACATAAACAATAAATAAACAAAAACTAAATTGAGGGACATCGACTGAAGTTGAAAATGTTTAAACCACCGTAGACCAATTTATATGGTGGGCCACTTGGACCACTCTTACGACCTATTACCTGCAGATAAACTGCGGCCAAATACAGTTTCATTTTATGTCCTTATGTTTTGTTATTTTTATCTGAAAATACCGCTTGAGTTTATTTATTAGTGTATTTTTTAATATTCATAGAATTATATGGGGATTGTTTTTTATAATTTTTCCGGGAATTACTATGTTGGTTTATCTATTTGTTGTTCTTTACTATTATTTCTACAAGACACTGTTTTGGTTTATTTATACACTTGTTTTTAGCAAATATACATTATTTATTTACAATATTATAAGACCTTTTAGCTCTTGCATGTACGACTAACATATTAATGTATTTCAGGTCACAGTCAACTATGAAGTGACTGAAAAATTTATTATGAAAGAGTTTGAAAATTCAAGAAGCCTCCATACTACTCGATATTTTTTGTTATATAGATATGAGTAGATTATAAGTAGACAAGTGAAATACTATTTGTCAGTTTGTTCCAGAGATAACAATAAATACAAGAATTTGTTCATCGTGTAACAAGTAACAGAACGATACAACTGTAAACTCAGGTTGAAAAAAGTATTTCTTTCTCAGCTGATAGAAACAAAAATAAAAAATCCTAAATTAGCTTTGCATTCGCTAACCACGAGTTAAGGCACATGAGGGGTCTAACGCATTTGTAATGGCGGTAAAATAAAAAATGTGGAATTGACAACTGACCGGACAATAGCTAAAGATGTATGAACATTTTGTTCTATGTAAAAACATGTAAAATTACTTGATCAGTCGTTTTTTGCGAAGTTTACTTTTAATTTGCTTTTATATTTATCGAAAACTTGTGTATTTGTGTTGTGTGCCCGAAATATACTTTTCATAGATAACTCTGCGTGGCCCAAAAGGCTTGGCCCGCCGCTGATTTTACGCCGATCTCGATTTTCTCTTTCTAACGATTTTGTCCTTGAATCTACCGACGGTTTTCGATTTTCTTCGTGATTATTTGCATTAAATTACAACATACGGCTTATCGGCTGTACAAATAAATATCATTGAATGCCTTTAGTAGAATGAAAACGTAATTTGCCATCAAGTATCAAATAGTTTGAAAATGCTTGACCTCAAGTCAAGTCTAACAATAAAAAAAAAACTAGTTAAGTCAAGCATCAACTGCTCAAGTAATTTTATTTACAAGTCAAGTAGTGAAATATCAAGCTACCTGGCTTGATGAATCCCTAGCAGCACAATCGAAATAAGGCAGCGCCATAAACCTCATATCCTGAATAGAGGATAGTTTCTATGCATTTGTTCGTTTTCCCAGAGACCAAGCCTAGACCGTGCTGATGAGTTACCAAAAAAGCACGAAACAGTTGTTCGAGGTTGGCTGTCTTTGGCTGGACAGCCGAAAGCAGCATTTTTAGGTTATACCCTTTAAGAAAAAAGTTAGTTACGACCATGTACCTATAACAGAGAAATTAAACGGAACAAGCCCATCAAACAGGTCCGCACGGCATTGCCTCTCCCCAATATTTCAAAGCATGATGTGTCCACAGAGCACCAGTCATGCAGCATACATAGGAACACCGGCAGAGCCGTGGACATATTAGACTGTCCTGGATACGTAAAATATTTGTATAATCATATTAGACGAGAGTACCCCTTGTTTGCGAAATAATTATAAAGTCTGGTTTTATTGCTGCAAGTTCTTCAATTGGGTATTCAAAACATGGACGCATGAAATGGATACATCAATTTTTGTGAAAAAACTTTTTATTCGACAACAAAGAACGAGAAAACGTTTTTTGGGATTAAATCGAAAGGGTTGGCACAAACAAAAAACTCTTCATTCCAGTTTTGAGGTATTTTTGAGACCAACAAAATGAGATCACATGTAAAAAGATCTGACTAATAGCAAAGAAGTTATGGCCGAAAACCGAGGCAAACTTCAGGTTTTGACATTTGTTGGTAATGCGAAGATGGTTTCTCGCAGTTATTTGAAATTCCTTGAATTCGTGGGATTCGTACTTCTAAATAACCACAACCAAATTGGAGTACATTGGTTAAGTAGTTTTCAAGAATTCCTAACTGTTTATCTCAATACACCTGTTTTCCGGCCATCCCTACACTACACTTATTGAGCAATATACAGGATTAGGTCAAAGGGCATTTTACAGCAAAATACGCTAGTTTACCTGGCCGATATGAATCGCAAACCATAAAAATGTTATTTTTATGCAAAAATGATGGGTTTCATCCTTTCTTCTAAACAAATTCAAACATTTCGTATTTGTGAGTAATTCGCAACAAAAGAAAAGTCGTGTGAAGTTATCGTCGCATCACCAACAAGTGCCAAAACCTGCATTTTGCCTCGATTTTCGGTCATAACATTTTTGCTATCAGTCGAATCGTTTCACGTGTAGTCTCATTGTGTAGGTCTCATAAATACCTAAAAACCTTGTATGAAAAGTTTTTTCGTTCCTGCTAACACTTGATTGAATCCCAAAAAACACGTTTTCTCATTCTTTGCTGTCAAACAAAAAGTGTTCCCACAAAAATTGGTGTACCCATTTTATGCGTCCATGTTTTAAGTACCCCCTTGAACCACTTGCACCAATGAAACCAGACTTCACAATTATTTCGAAGAAATTTGCTAATATGATTAGACTATCATATGCAATAACACTCAAACTAGAAGCTATGGTATGTGCACAAGCACCGCACAGTTAGGCAATGTTGAAATAAACTAAACATGATGCTTTCGCCCGGCCGAGCAAAAAGACAGCCAACCATGGATAGCTGTTTCGAGCTACTTGGCTACTCGTTAGCATGGTCTAGGCTTGGTCTCTTGTCTCTGGACAGATAAACAACAGCATCAGTTACAGGGCTATCAAACGTTCATTCAGATCCCCAACAGGTCCAACTGATAGCAGCTATGCTCTTTCCGCAGTGGTCGATTCTGATGTGATAGATGGCGCTGTCTCATTGCGGTGTTAGAACTTAAGCAACGATATGTGGTTTCAATTTTCAACAAGGAAATCGTAGGATAAGTTTCAGATATTATATTGAATAGTCTAGTCTTACCTTGGAGTGGGTGGTTGTTTTCCGGTGATTCGTACGGACCTCTGGGAGGCTCAGTCTTGGGCGATACATCGTAATCTGAAAAAAATTGATATCAAAACATGTTAAACTTGTAGCTATCTCGCCAAATGCTTCCTGTCTGACTTTTGGTCTACACGGTATTGGTATAATCGCGATACATCTGTAGTCTGGAGGATGCGACCGTGTTTCTTCCCGCTTTTCGTATTTAACATAGTTTTTTGCTATCTTAGTTGTTTCAATTTTAAAAATGTATATTTTGTCAAGGGTGAATCCAGAGGGGGAGGAGGTCATGGGAATCTACATCGATCAGCCTATGCTTCTCCCCTGGCCTTTAATAGGGATACGGTCTCACAAGTACTGATGCAGCCAGTGACCACCACTGTGCCCCCCTATAGAGTGTTTCCGCCAGTGTGACTAAGTCATCACCGCTGTCCCAATTGCTGAATTCGCAATTGCGTTAGGACTTATAGAAGTTACGTTTGATTGTTAAAGAAGATAATGCCTGGCTTTAAAGACCGTCCAATATACAGCACTGATTCCAGATTTTGTATTTGCAGTATCCGTATTTGAGGCCTTCAAAGCTAACACTCCTTAACACGCGTATCTGTGTATGTAACTGTGTGTCTGACTGTCATTTATAGTTTCTTTAATCGAAAGTCTTGTCTCTCAAGATTTTTTTTTATTTGTTTATTGAATATAGGTTCCGCTTTTTAAAAGTTACGGAGGGTGAACGTGGGGGTGAACCAAAGGATTCGAATAGATTTGAAGGAGTCAATATGTTTACATTGCATTGTTTGTCGCCAAAATTGTGTATTTTCAGCGTATACTAATTTGACTACCATTGCCTACCAAAGTGACAAGCCAATATATCGGTAGGCATTCTTTCTCTGGAAAGAATATTGAAGTAGCTGTTCGTACTGGGTGCACCCACGTAGATCAAGACAGAAATACTATCTGCGTTGTGACGTGAATCGCTCACCTGTTTTGAATGAACAGGGATAAACTAAATAATGCAAAGAAATGAAAGTAAATATTTATTCACAATCTAAAATTTCTCGTGATTTTAGAGGGTCAACAATACCAAACAGCACCAGTAGGGAAAAACCTTAATTATAACACTGAAATTCCCGCTATCATATTATCATTGTCACTATAAGAAATCGAAAAAAGATTTGGAAGTTTTTTTGATTAATTCGATAGTTTATTCTTGGGTGTACTGAGCCTCCTTCTTAGAATCGCGTGGTACTTAAATGAGATCGTAAAATAACCATTTGTAACGCAAAGGTAACTTGCCAGATTCAAAATAGTAGATAAAGTTAAATTTTAATTAAGTTTAGCTAGAAGTTTCGGTTGGCCCTTTTCAGTAACTATCAAAACATTTGGTTTGTCTCCAATATTTTGCATTTTTCAATGTTTTTAGGAAAAAATCCTGATGAAAAAATGATTTGCTCTTATACAGTTTAAATTGCTTTTTGCCATCCCCCGTCATCATTTTTGGCAACTGTCTGGAACACTAGGGATGTATAGAACCTACGCACTTTTATATGTTTTCGCAAAAAGGTGATGTGAAATGTCAACAACTTTCAAACCGGCGGCGACTCGTTTTTGTGACAAACAAATCGTAGGCGTACTCCTTCTGTCAAGTCTAAATTCATTAGGGTGAGCAACCTCAAGTAAGCGACGGTAGATGAAACGCTTTAATTTGAAGATTACTAAGTTGGTCTTAGTTCACGACAGGCTGCAAAGTGTGGTGGGGGAAGTATTAGAGTAGGCGAATCGGTAGCTGTACTGTCCAGGACTGGTGCGTGAAATGGAAAATCCGCATCAACGTCCAGAAGTCGCAGGCAATCTTCATTCAACGAAGAAGGATTGCAAGACCTCTCGAAGCATCCATCTTCGACGAAGATATCCAGTGGAGCGACAAAGTCAAATATCTGGGGATCGTATTTGATAAGTCCCTCACCTGGAAAGCGCACATAGAAGCTGTCATCGCAAAGACCAGAGCAGCCATGGCTCAACTCTATCCATTACTGGGCAGACACAGCCAGATGCCGCTAGTGACCAAGCTACGGCTGATCAAGGCCATCGCCAGACCTCAGCTCGCTTACGCCTCCGCGGTCTGGGGGTACGCTGCCCCCAGCTACCGCAAGCGACTTGCTGCTCTAGAGATGACGCTACTCCGGATCGCCACCAGTGCACCATCCTACGTAAGAAACTCAACCTTGCGCAGAGACCTGCACTGGGACACCATCCACGAGTACATGAGGAAAAAAGCGGAGAAGACCTTCGAGAAAGCTCAGGACCACCCGAACGAGCAGCTACGATTCCTCATGGACTACGATCCGGACGAGAGGCCTCGCAACCGCAGAACCAGGTACCCCAGACCAAGGTCCCAGTTGGCACCCGCTAACTGGAACCTTGACTAGGAGACTAGGAGGACCCGCGATTGCTCCCCCCCCACGGCGTGGATGCAGAGGACCAGGAACCACCGGGACCAGGACCAACCAGGACCAGGACCCGCCACGACCAGGACCCACCAGGACCAGGACCCTTCAGGACCAGGACCAGGAACAACATATTGGTAAGAGGACTTGAAACTCTTGATTTTTCGAAAACAAGAGTTTCAAGAGAACCAGCAGACCCTCTATCGATGATCGCTTAACGACATCGATAGAATGTGCGAGGTAAAGGGAACCAACCCGGCGTTCCCAGAGAGTGAAACACATGAGGAGACGTTGTAGCAGACCGCAGGTCACGCACAACACATGGTCTACCGAGACGTTGATGAGTCGGGCGACTCGGAGGTTTAGGGTTTAGTCGGTATTAGGTGCTCTCCTCAAGACCCTGGAGTCCCACACACGCCGTAGCTCGGGCTATGGTATGGTGCGTAAATGCATTCCCCCCTCACCAAAAAAAAAAAAAAAGCTGTACTGAGAGTCTACCACCCGGTGCCATTCTGGACAAAGGGATGACTTGACGGAATCATATCGAAGCGTTAAAAACTAAATTCCAAATTAAGTTTTGGTATCTTCACCCATTATTGTGTACACGTTCAAAAATAAATTTGATTAATAAGATTCGGCTCTATAAGGTAAGATCTGCACTGTTTTACGCTTGTGCAGCTTGGTGTTTTATTGCCAAAACACACATGCGAAATCCGCAGGTTCTGCAAAGCAGGAATTTGCGCATTATTGGTAATGCCCCATGGTATGCCTCCAACGAAACTCTTCACAGTCGAGCAAGTTTGTAAGTGCAAAAGGCGTAATGCAAATTATTTCTTGACTTTAAAACAAACTAAATTAGAGCATTTTAACTAAACCCTTGCAAATATAAAAAATTTGTGAATGTAATAATACCTAAGAGATCCTCTTCTTCCTCTTTACCATCTTCTTTCCTTTCCTCCTTTCCATTTTTCCTTCATATGGTCTGGTTTGTGGTTTACCAGACCTGACAGACTTACAAACTGGCGCTGTGACAAAAGAGCTAGGGTCTTATTGACCACTCTGACAACTAACTATGACTTGACTAAAAATAAAAATCGACCAGGTCGTTTACAAGTGAGACCACTTTTCTGTATGATTTTTAATCGCCGACGCAAAAGCTCTCATACGGATGGACGGATTTGAGTGGTTTTTTACCCGACTATCTCAGACGGAGGACAATGCCTTTTGCGCGTGATTATGTGCTCGTATATGTACCCAAACAATTCTAATTCACGGGCTACAGGCCAAACGGCTTGATAGATTTTGAAATATGAGGTTTTGTCGAGTTCCTCTTAGTAGTGTGATATTGGCTATATCAGTTCCCCAAACTTTTTTGTGTCGTAGACCCCATGTTTTTCCGTGTTGGGTAGACCCCCTACCTACCTGATATTGATTTCCTGTAAATTTCTAACTGTAGTGAAGTTTAGTGTTAAAAACTTATAGCATAAACACATGTTAATTTATACATTTATTAATTGACTTTAAATGAAAACTACTCAAAATAAAATTTTGTATCTGTTATGTAAAATATACGCAACATTAAATAAACAGGTGTCTGACCAATAAGTGCCTTCCTTTAGAATAAGTGCCCGCATTGAAAAAAAAATAAGAGGGATAAAATAAAAAAAAGTAAAAATTATAAAAAAAAAATTTTTTACTTAAAATAGTACAATAAGCGAGTTCGTTTATTAATTATACATAAACGTATGTTCTACAATAATTTCACTGTTAGTTTGATTAAATTCCGCTTCTTATACGTTTAAGTTATCTAAAAATAGGCAAAAAATTAACGAATTTCAGTGTGTACTTATCCTTGAATTTTCAGAATAATTTAAAAAAATATATATATATATTCTTTAAAAAAATCAATGCGGGCACTTATTCCCAATGCGGGCATTTATTGGTCAGACACCAATAAACATAAAATAAACTATAAATAAAATAACATAAGCAATAAGTCAATATTTTTAGTACGAAGGATGAATCTGTTGCTTTAATAATAAATTATCAACATTTGGCGTCGATTTTGTAAGGGTTAATCTTAAATCTCCTCGGCTAATGGTGTCCAGTCTGTTTCTTTTTTTCGTTAGGAGATTGGTAACAGCGCTGAACCCCCTTTCCACTAGGTATGACGATGGAAAGGAAATTAAAAATTTGCTGATACCCGTTTTTAAACTGAACCTTAAGTTCTTCGTTTGTACTTAGTTCAGTCAGTTCCTCTTGTATTAAGACATTCGTTTCTTCTATGTCACCATCTGGATTAATTATCCACGGTGGTATTACCATAGTCAAAATATCCTCAAACCTAGATTCAAAATCTGAATAGAGGGCATTTAAATGTTGAACGTAAGTGGAAACGTCGTCTTCCTGGCAGCTTGTCTGTGACAAATTGGGGAACTGAGAAAATTCGGCCCGTCCAATATTTTGCTTCATTAGTTTAACTCTGGCAAGAAACGCTGATAAGATGGACTTTGTTTTAATCAAATTTAAACTGTCGCCTTGTAATTGCAAATTAACCTTATTAAATTTTGTAAACAAATCTGTTAAATAGGCGATGTCTGTTTTCCTCTTCAT